GCGGAACATCAGGTAAGCGACGTAGACAAAGAACAGAATCAACGCGGTCGTGAGTTTCGCTTCGCCGGTCCACCACACTTCCCAAACCGGTTTCGCCCAAACCATGCCCGATATCAACATGATCGCGCCGAACATCACGCCGACCTCGGCCATGGATGCAGCGATCCTGTCCCAAGTCTCGCGCTTGGTGATCAGATACGCGACGCTTGCTACGGCGACACCAATGATGGCGACCATGCTGACCCACGCGACTGGAACATGGATGTACAGGATCCGCTGTACGACGCCTTGATTGATATCGGTTGGCACCCAGACGAACATCATCCACAAAGCGAACGCCATAGCGACCAGTGTCGCTACGTGCAACACTGTTTGGGCGCGGATTTTCAAGAATCCCATGCGAATTTGGAGAGGAGAGCGTCGAAAGTGGCTTAGCGAGTGGCTAGGTTCAATTGTAATTTTCAAAGCGGATCAAGAATGAGAGACGACCATCGTTGCCCGCCTCAATCGTCCAAAACGTAGCCAAAGAGCAAGGCCGAAGCCGTTACGAACACCACGTCGTACACTACCGCCAGCTGTATCCATGGCAACGATGCAGACCATGGCTCTCCCGCGGCTGAAACGGAGGTGACGCGGATGGCGGCGAACAACAGTGGAGCAACTGAGGGCAGGAACAGCATCGGCAGTAGAACCTCGCGAGCACGTACTCGAAAAGTCAGGCTTGAAAATAGCGTGCCCACACTCGAGAAGCCGATCGCAGACAGCAGCGCCACGAGGAATATCTCAGCGTGGAAGATCGACAAGTTGAACATGAAGGTGAAGACGACAAACACGATCAAGGTTGCAATCGTCAGAAACACGAAGGTGCCGATTGATTTGCCGATGAAGACTAGGTCTCTGGATACCGGCGCCATCATCAACGCGCCGACGGCGTCGTTTTCTAATTCGTGAGAGGTGGCGCGTGTCAGTCCAACCACGCCATGCGAACGTTATCGCGGCCCATAGAACGCCGGGTCCGGTCTCCAACGCTTTCCGTGCGTTAGGTTCGATGGCAATCGCGAAGATGGCTATCACCAAGGAAGCGAACATTATGATCGCGACCGCGACATCGCGGTTGCGCGATTCGATACGCAGCTCCTTGAGCGTAAGTGCCCAGATTATCGAAAGCGTTTCGGTCAATCGATCATCAATCGGTATCGAGGGTTTCCAATCGACCAGCGGTTATGGTGAAAGCGGCGTCAGCCGCACTGGTCGTGAAATCGGCGCTGTGTGTAGCCATCAGGACCGATCGTCCGCGGGATCTCCACTCTGCGACGATTTCCATCATGACGTCTAACGAAGACTCGTCGAGGCCGGTCTCAGGTTCGTCCAGAAGCAGTAGGGAAGGGGTGTGGATTATCGAACGTGCGATAGCCACTCGTTTGCGGTAGCCGTGAGAGAGACCTCGGACTCGCTCGTTCATGCGAGCATCCAATCGCAATCTTGAAGCAACTTCCGCGACGCGTTCGCGCGGCGCATCGAGTTGGCAGAGGGTCGCGAACAATGCTAGATTTTCTCGAACCGTGAGGTCGGAGTAGAGCATGGGCGAGTGCATCACGGCACCAATATGTCGCCGCGCGTCTGCAGCTTGACGTAGCGCGTCAACGCCGTTGATCGAGAGTTGACCTTCAGTAGGGCTGGTCAATGTCGCAGCGATCCGAAGAAGCGTCGATTTTCCAGACCCGTTCGCTCCGCGAATGACAGTGACGCTGCCGGCAGAGACAGTAAGGTCCACTTTGTTTAGAACCGTCGCGGCGCCGAATCGCTTGATGACCGCGTTCATCCGCAACAGCGGGATCTGCGGTCGATTTAATGTGTCGGTTTCAGTGGCGGTGATGATGGCCTACCAGATGTGGGTGCGCCGAGTGGTGCGGGGGATAGCGGCGCCCGTTGCGGATCGTCTCTACTGGCACCAAAAGTTGCTTGCCTTGCCGAGTTGCGCCTTTCGCATCGGTCAACTCGAAGTTGCCTTCCAACACTCTGATTATCGATACGTCGGCGTCCGCACCGACCCGCAACGAGCCGATCGTCTCCGTCATTCCAATCGCCGCGGCAGGTCGTTGCGTGGCGAACCCGATTACATCGTCGAGGGAAAATCCGAGATAAAGGTATTTCGACAACGTTGTTAGCAGGTCGTAGACTGGGCCGCGGATGTTGTATCGGTGCACGTCTGAACTGACCGTACCCGGGCCAAATCCGTCGGCCGCGCACTTTTCGGCTACGTCGAACGAGAATGAGCCGGCACCGTGTCCGACATCAAAGTTGACGCCGCGTTGCACGGCATCGCGAGCGGCATCGATTACTTTGCCAGTGTTGTCGACGATGCCGGGCGGATTTCCAGTGAAGCTGTGGGTGACGATATCGCCCGGCCGAAGCTGTTCGAGGTATCGCTCGACGGGATTTACGGTTCCGCCGATGTGTATCATCAGCGGCTTGCCGAGTTGACTTGAAGCCTCAAGAGCGCGTTCCATTGCGATCAAGTCGTTGTGACCCACTATTCCCTCTGAGAGCCTAATCTTGATACCGACGATGACCTCAGGGAAGTTTCGAGCCGCTTCGACCGCTCTTTCCACGCGGGCCCAACGAACATCCTCAAGCTCGCCGATATCGTTGTCGAGTTGTCCCATACCGGAGATGTGCAGGAACGCCAACACTCGAGTGTCGGCCTGCTGCATCACGTAGCGATGGAAGCCGGCGATAGTGTTCGCACCCGCTGAACCGGCATCGATGGCGGTGGTGACGCCGCGATAGAGGCTCGAAGGGTCCGCTTCAACCGCAAGATGCGCGACGCCCCACCAAACGTGGACGTGGAGATCTACTAGACCAGGAGTAACGATTAAACCGTCAGCCTCCAACACATCGTGCGTGTCGCCGTCGCTGATGGATTCCTCCACTGCGCGGATCTTCCCGCCTGAGATGGCGATGTCTCGCTGGGCATGCAACCCTTGGCTCGGGTCAATTATCGTCCCGTTTTTGATTACCAGATCCCAAGTCATTTCTCACCTCGTTCGGCCTACGTCGCTGGTTGGCTTCGTGGGCTAAGCATCGAAATCGCGAATTACCTTGCCCGGCATGGATCCCGTCACTTCGCCGTCAGCAATCGCCGGTACGCCATTGACGATTACGTAGTCCATACCGGTGGAGTACTGGTGCGGGTCGTTGAAGGAATTGTTCTGTTTGATGTTGTCGAGATCGAAAACCAGTACATCCGCGTACATCCCTCGAGCGATGCGACCTCGACGGGTCAGATTCAGTCGGCTTGCACCAAGTGCAGTCATCTTGTAGATTGCTTCTTCGAACGAGAGCAGTTTGCGTGCCTTGACGAAGGTTTCCAAGTGGCGCGAGTTCGTAGCATAGCTGCGAGGATGCGGTTTTCCGGATGACAGGGGTCCCGTGGTTCTCAGCGAACTTCCGTCCGAGCAGACGGTCATCAACCGCCACTGCGCGATCGCCTCGACGTCGGATTCTTCCATTGAGTTAAGCACATAGGAGCCGTCAGACTGTTCATATAGTCGAAGCGCTGCTTCAGCGGGTTCGCATCCCATCTCGTCGCCGACCTCTGCGAGGCTCATGCCTTCGTAATCGGTGTTAGGTGGGAAGTGCGCGATCACAGAACCGACGGCGCCGTGGTTGCGGCTGATGTAATACTCGGTGTCGACACGCATCTTCGCCCGCAAATCATCGTCTTGAAGCCGTTCTAAAGTCGCCTGTCTGCCACCAGTCAACGCCCACCGTGCGAACATTGCTCCGCTGAAACCGGTGCTCGACCACGAATACGGGTATTGGTCGCCGGCAAGGTCTATGCCTTCGTCAATCGCGCGTTCGAAACCTTCCAGCAACTCAGGTCCGCGCCCCCAGAATTTCGGTCCAACCGCTTTGACGTGGGACACCTGAATGCGTCGCCGGTACGACGACCGATCTCGATCGCTTCGGCGTGCGCGGGGAAGAGGCCGCATAGGTCATCCGCTTCGGAGCGAATATGCGACGAATAGAGCTTATTTCGATCGGCGACGGGTTGATTGAGTGCGATCACCTCATCGGTCAGTGAATACGAACCGGGTGCGTACCACAAACCCGTCGACATTCCCATGGCGCCCGCATCGAGGCTCTCTTCAATGAGGCGCGTCATGTGTGCGAGTTCATCAATGGTCGGGCCGCGATTGTCCATACCCATTACCGCCGCGCGGACTGTGCCGTGTCCGACCTGCGTGGTGACATTGATCGTTGATCCGCGTTGCTCTAGCGCGTTTAAATAGCCGTCGAAATTCTCCCAATCGACATCGAATGTGCCTTCGCCGCCGCGCGTCAGGCGTTCTCGGAGTTGATCTCTCGCCGCGCCGTAGAGCGGGGCGCAGAAGCTCATGCCACAGTTGCCGAAGTACTCAAGCGTCACACCCTGAGTGAGCTTCGAATCGGCCATCGAATCCACCAGAAATGAGGCATCGGAGTGAGTGTGCAAGTCGATGAAGCCGGGCGTTACGGACTTACCTTTGGCATCAATGGTCTTCTTGGCCTCGGCACTGCTGAGGTCACCGACGGTCTCGATCGTGTCGCCCGCGATGCCCACATCGGCGAGAGTGCCTGGCAGTCCGCTGCCGTCGTGTACCGTCCCGCCCACTATCTTGATGTCCAGCATGTTCTCCGCCCCGTATATGCGTATGAAGTCGTTGAGTGGATTTTAACGGGTTTTTGTTGGCACTACCCGAAACCGTAGGCGTGCGCGATCTCAAACCTTTAACTTAAACTTGCTTGGAGAATTCACAACCCAGCAAACAGGGAGCAACAGATTGAAGTACGTCAGATTTGAGAACGGCGGCGGTGCGTCGTACGGCATCGTCGAAGACGACAACACAGTGGTCGAGATATCCAACTCGCCGATCGGTCAGTCGTACGAAAAAACGGGTAACTCCTACGATTTGGCCGACGTCAAGATACTTGCGCCGAACCCGAACCCCATCAAGATGTTGTGCTTGGCCCGCAACTACCGATCCCATCTCCACGGGGTTGCAGAACCCACTCGCCCGGAACCGTTCTACAAGACGCCGACCGCGATCATCGGTCCCGGTGACCCCATCAAGGTAACTGCCGACTCAGGTCTAGTGGTCTGCGAATCCGAACTCGTCGTCATCATGGGCAAGCGGGCCAAGAACGTTAGCGAAGAGGATGCACTAGATTACGTATTCGGCTACACCGCCGGTAACGATGTCAGTGCTCGCGACTGGCAGAGCGATGACACGCAATGGTGGCGCGCCAAGTCGGCCGACACCTTCGGACCAACTGGCCCGTTTATCGTTACCGACATCGATCCCCAGGACGTCAGCATTCGCGGATTAGTGAATGGAGTTGAAGGGCAGAAGTGCCACTCCTCGGAGATGATCTTCGACGTTCGCCAATCGATCAGCTTCATCTCGCGTTACGTCACCCTCGAATGTGGCGATATGTTGTGGACCGGCACATCAGGTACGACCCCTCCGATTAACGTCGGCGGAGACGTCACAGTGGAAATCGAAAAGATCGGTGTGCTCCACAACCCGGTCGAGGCTGCATAAGCGGCACTGACGCTCTGATAAGCAATGTCTTCTAACCCGGCGCCGAAATAGGTCGAGAGATCGCCTTCGGTAAGCCAGTAGAAGACGAGATAAGCACCGACAACCGCGAGGATGATCGCGGAAGCACGTTCTACGTACTGCATCGATCTTCGGAGCGGGTTCAATATCGCGCTCTTGAACAAAGCAATGCCAATGGTGACCAACATGATGAGGAACGCCATCCCGCCAGCGTAGGCGACGAACTGGATCAATCCTGACAAGATTCCCTCGCGGCCGAATGAACTCGTTACCACGCTCAAGAAAAGCGGAAGCGTGCAACTCAGCGACGCCAACGCGTAACTGACGCCGAAGAGGAAATAACCGCCAAGCGTCGACACTCTCGGGTCTCCAACGCGGTCCGCCATGCGTTGGGCGACGCCGGTGTAGATCTTGCCTCCGACTAGGATGTAGGCTGCAATCAGCGTCATCACTATTCCGAGAGTGAATCCGATCCACGGCAAGGCCTCTTTGACTAGCTCTTGGCTCGCCGATACCAATAGCCCGGCGGTACCGAACAGGGCCACAAATCCAACGCCCATCGCCAAACTGACGTAGACCGCCTTTGACCCGCGTCTGGCAACCCCGGCCAAGCTTGCGTCGCCATCTACATCAGATTCGTCCCGCAGATAGATCGTCAGGTAGGCGGGCAGCATCACAAAACCACAAGGATTGACGGCGGCGACCATACCGGCCACGAAAGCGTAGCCGAACGGCAATAGATCGCCAATGTTGGTGACCCACGACGTCGAGGTACTTTGGATACCCAAGACGTTTCCGACGGTGTCGTTAGCGCCCGGACCTTGGAGAACCCCCGTAACGAAAGCGACCGCCAGCAACAGTACGGCGCCAATAGCGGTGGTAAGTTGGATCGGTGTTATCGGTTGGGCAAGTGGGCCCGGCAACTTCATGTCTTGACTCCCGTATTGACGTAACGAACGATGTGATTGCGAGCGCACAATACGCGCGCCACAACCGATGCTTGTAAAGAATAACGACTCGAACCGGGATTCGGTCGCAATCGTGGACCGGGACAAGCGATTGATACCGTCGAAATAGCTTCGTGTGATACCATCGAACATTGGTTCCAAAGGTCAATTTGACGCTTTGGAGGCGCTTCGCGCGCCACAGGAATGCCCAAGACAAGACGACCAGGAGATCACACTACCACCTTGACGACCGAAACCGTTGCTGTAGAGACACAGGTCGCAGCCGAAGAATCTGAAGAACTCGAGCCCTTGACCGTTGAAGGGCTTTACCGCGCTGGCGTGCACCTTGGCCATCTTTCGAAGCGCTGGCACCCGCGCATGCGTGACTACATCCGGCTCAAGCACCAAAAACGCCATGTCATGGACATGGACAAAACAATCGAGGCGATCGAGCGCGGCCAAGACCGCGGTGCGTGAGATTGTTGCGGCCGGTGGCGAATGTCTAATGGTTGGCACGAAACCCCAGGCGCGAACGGAGATCGAGCGCTTGGCCAATTTGGTCGGCGCGTCGTACATAACCTCGCGATGGCTCGGCGGCACGATGACGAACTTCAGCACGATATCTCGTCGCATCGAGGCGCTCATCACACTTGAAGAGGACTTCGCCAAAGGCGAGGTGCAGGCGCACACGAAACGCGAACTGTTGATGAAGCAGACCGAAGTTAAGCGGCTCAATAAGTTCTTCGGCGGCATCAAAGAGATTGCCAAACTGCCGGACGTTTTGTTCGTGGTTGGCATCGACCGCGAGAAGCACGCGGTCAAAGAGGCCAACGATCTAAATATCCCCGTAGTGGCCATCGTGGACACCAATTGCGATCCGAGCACCATTACGTATCCGATCCCCGGAAACGACGATTCACACGCGTCGATCTCGCTAATTGCCCGCCATATCGCGGCCGCGATCTCGGAAGGCAGAGAACTCGCAGCCGCCCGTGAGCGCGAACGAGTGGCGATTCAGGCCGAACGCGACGCGCAGGATGCGGCGATGGCGGCAGCCCGAGCGGCTGCTACGGAACGGTCTAGACAGCAACGCTCGGAAAGCTAGTCAACACTACGACCACACAATCACCAAAAACATTCGAAACGGAGTTGTCACCCAATGGCTAAAATCAGCACCGCGCAGATCAAGGAGTTGCGCGAAATGACTGGTGCTGGGATCATGGACTCGAAGCGAGCTCTTGAATCCGCTGACGGCGACATCAAAACGGCCGCTCAGGCGCTCCTGGAGAAGGGGCTGGCTTCGGCTGCAAAGCGGGCCGGACGCGAGGCTGGAGAAGGCGTTATCGAGGCATATATCCACACCGGATCTAGGGTTGGCTCACTAGTGGAACTTAACTGCGAGACCGACTTTGTTGCTCGCACCCCAGAGTTCAAAGCCCTGGCTCGCGATTTGGCGATGCAGGTTGCCGCGATGAGTCCACGTTACGTTGACCGGAATTCGATTCCGGGAGACGCCGGGGATGTTTCTGAAGACGAGATATTGCTCGACCAGATGTACATCCGAGACACCAGTGTAAAGGTCGCGGATCTGGTGACGGAGTTGATTTCAAAAGTTGGCGAAAACGTCAAGGTCGGACGCATCGAGAGGTTTGCGCTCGGCGAGTAAGCAAAGGAGCACCGTACTTTGCGGTCGACGCCACGCTACAGCCGCATTTTGCTGAAACTCAGCGGTGAGTCGTTCAAAGGCGGCAAGAACTTCGGCATCGACTATCAGACGGTCAGATACATCGCTGGTGAAATCAAACAGGTTCACGACGCCGGTGTTGGTATCGGGGTCGTCGTCGGTGGTGGAAACATGTGGCGCGGCACAGATTATGAAGCGCAAGGGATGGATCGTTCCAGCGCTGATCACGCCGGAATGCTTGCGACCGTGATGAATGCATTGGTCTTGCACGACCAGCTTGAGCGCGATGGTATGCCGGTTAGGACCATGACCGCGATACCGATGCCAACTGTCGCCGAACCATACGTTAGGTCGCGTGCGCTGCACCACCTTGAACGTGGGCGCACGGTCATCTTCGCCGCCGGCACAGGCAACCCGTTCATGTCGACCGACACTGCCGCAAGCTTGCGGGCGCTCGAGATGAATGCTGGAGTACTGGTGATGGCGAAAAACGGCGTTGACGGCGTTTACGACGCGGACCCGGCGACCGTCCCGACGGCGAAGAAATTCGACCACATCACTCATCATAAGCGTTGGAACTCGGCCTACGTGCCCTCGACTCGACCGCGTTGTCGCTGGCAATGGACAACAAGATGCCGATCATCGTGTTTGATATGTTCAAACTTGGCAATCTAGCAGGTATCGTTAGCGGTGGATATGTAGGCACTCGGATCACCGTTGATGCGGCGGGCGAACAACTGCATATGCCCCAACAGGCGGCGACCGCATACGCCTGACGGCGCAAAATGCACGAGCTGACCTGCGGCAAACTGCCGGCGATTAGCAAACGAGCGAATCAGGACCACCTGCCGAAAGAGCAAGAGAGGTGTTTGGATGTTGGAAGAAACCTTGGATGATGCAAAAACCCGTATGGACTCCTCAGTGAGCGTCTTCGAGGATGACTTGGACGGTTTCCGAACCAACCAAGCGTCGACATCGCTCGTTTCAAAGATGCAAGTGAGTGTCGACATGGGCGATGCCACCGATACCTTGATGATGAATCAACTTGCGATGATCGCCGTAGAAAGCGCCAGAACGATCAAGATTGAGGCGTTTTACCCCGACGCTGCTGCTGCGATTGTGAGGGCCATACAAATGTCGGACCTCGGATTGAATCCCGCGTCGATGGTCAGACGATCCGTTTGATGTTGCCCGAACTTACGCAGGAGAGACGACGAGAACTCGTCAGAATGGCTCGTCGAAGGGCCGAAGACGCGCGCGTTTCGATTCGCAACGTCCGCCGCGACGCACAGAGCATGATCCGCGAAATCCAAACTGAAGGTGAGGCTTCGGAGGATGATTGCAAACGTGCTTCGAAGTCGTTGCAGGACCTCACGGACGCGGCGGTGGGTCAAGTTAGCGACTTGTTGAATAACAAAGAAGAGCAAATACTCGCGTAGCCGACTGTCGACTTTTAACGAGTATTTTTGATATTTGCGAGGCCACGGTGAGTTTGGAAACTGAGGACGCAACGAACGAGACGAATTCAATGGTTTCGCTCAATGAACGGGGCTCATGAGTCCGGACCGATCGAGTCTCGGAACAACGGGTTCGAACACAACGGGTTGGCGCGCGAATCCGAATTCCGAGTCATGTCGCCATCATCATGGATGGCAACGCACGTTGGGCCGAAACGAATCAAGTGAGTGTATGCCCAAGGTCATCGCGCCGGCTACGAAAACATCGGGAAAGCCGCGCGCTCGCTGGCGAAAATGGGAGTGAAGCAGTCCACCTTGTTCGCGTTTTCGACGGAGAACTGGGACCGGCCGGAAGACGAGGTCCAAGCCCTGATGGACTTGGCGTTCGAAGCGATTGAACGCGGGGTCCAACAATTTCATGCTGACGGTGTAAGACTTCGCCACGTGGGTTACGAGGAACGGTTGCCAGCCGATATGATCGCCAAGATCAAACAGGCGGAAAGATTGACGCGCAACAACAGCGTTTTTGCACTGAATTTGGCGTTCGACTACGGCGGCCGACACGAGATCGTCGATGCCGTCAAGAGAATAGTTGCCGACGGCGTGCCTGCCGAGAAGATAGATGAAAACTTGGTAGGTCGTTATCTCTTCACTTCAGGCATCCCCGATCCTGACTTGGTCATCAGAACTGGCGGCGAGTTCCGCATAAGTAACTTCATGATCTGGCAGTCGGCATATTCGGAGTTCTACTCGTCGCAGGTTATGTGGCCGGAGTTTGGCGAAGAGGAGATCGAAAAGGCCATCGCAGCATATTCCGAACGGCAGCGCCGTTTTGGCAGACGTCCAAAGCAAACACAATAGTTTTGCGAGACTATTGGCGTGTCTCAGGAAAACAATTCGGTTAATCCTTGGTCTGTTTCCGGATCATCCGAACTTAAACTCCGGTTGATTTCGGCAGCTGTTGGCCTCCCACTGTTGGGCTCGGCTCTCTATTTCGGGTTTTGGCCCATGTCAATCGTCGCAATCGTTGTCGCGGCGATCGTAGGACTAGAAACTCGACGGATGGCGTACGGTCGGTCTGGCGCATTCACTCAGCGCGAAGCGATTGCCATGTTCACAGGCGCGGTCGTTGCCGGAGTTGGGGTATTTGGCGCGGCCCTCGCGGAACTGGATATTGATGCAAGTATTGCCCCACCCACCGCCATGGCGATTGGTTTCATAGTCGCGTTGTTGCTGATCGAAATCGCCATCACGTCCCGTTTCAGGCAAGTCGAAGTGGTCAGGCGGAATTTGACCCTCTCCTACGGAGCCTTCGTCGTCTTGGCCATTACGTTGTTGCCGTTCATCTTGACGATAGACAAAGGCCGTGAACTCGTGACGTTTGGCATCTTGGTGGTCTTCGCCGCGGACACTGGCGCATACTTCGTCGGCAAGGCGGTTAGGGAAACGGAAAATGGCCCCCAACGTGAGCCCGGGCAAGACTTGGGAAGGTTTTGCTGGTGGGATCGTCGCCGCGTTGATCGCCTCTTGGGCCCTTTCTAACCTGCTTTCTCTCGACTACACAGTCACCAGAATCGTAGCCATCGGGGCGGCGATCGCCGTCCTAGGGGTTGCGGGCGACCTCGGGAGTCGTGGATCAAACGGCTGATCAGGTGTCAAAGATTCCGGAGGGATCATCCCCGGTCACGGAGGCATCATGGATCGACTAGACGCGCTGGCTCCAAACTTCGTGTTCATATACTTCATCGATAGATGGCTGGCATGAAAAAGCGGATTGCAATTCTCGGCTCGACGGGGTCGGTAGGTTCGCAGACACTAGACGTTATTCGCCAGTTTCCGGAGGATTTCGAGGTCGTCGGTCTATCCGCTGGCTACAACGTCGACGAACTCGCGAAACAAATCGCGGAGTTCGAACCTCGTTACTTCAGTTGTCTCGACGATTCGATCACTGAGATCGGCGACTCCCAGTGGATATCCATGTTGGACTTGGCGACTCATTCGGACGTCGAATTCGTCATGCATGCCACGGCCGGTGTCGAAGGATTGCCGTGCGCGATCGCAGCGCTCAGCGCGGGCAAAATCGTCGGTCTATCCAACAAGGAATCGATCGTTATGGCGGGTGCCCATCTGAAGCGCGTCGCCGACGAAAACGGGGGCACCATATTGCCCATCGACTCCGAACCGAACGCGCTTTGGCAGTGCGTGATCGGCGAAAAATCTAGTCCGAAACGCTACATCATCACCGCATCCGGCGGAGCATTCCGCGATCGAACGCCCCAGGAACTGGCCAACGTGACGCCCGAAGAAGCGTTGAAGCACCCGACCTGGTCTATGGGAAAGAAGATAACCATCGATTCCGCAACCTTGATGAATAAAGCCTTCGAGGTCATCGAAACGGCGTCGCTCTTTGACGCAACGTTGGACGAGATCGACGTGGTGATACATCGGCAGAGCATCGTCCACTCGTTAGTAGAGATGGAGGACGGGTCGATTAAGGCCCAACTCAGCCTGCCGGATATGCGCCACCCGATTCAATTCGCCCTTTTTTACCCCGAACGGCGACCCAACGACACACTGCCTAAATTCGACCTGCTTGATGCCTACGAATTGACGTTTGAAGCGATGGACCCGTCAAAATACCCATGTTTCGACCTAGCGATGAAGTACGCGCGGATCGGCGGCACTTACAACGCGGTACTGGCGGGAGCCGACGAGGCTGCGGTTGATCTGTTCTTGGATCGGAAGATTAAGTTTACCGAGATCGCTAATGAAATTCAGACGACGATCGACCTGCACGAAGCAAAGACCGAATTCACGGTGGAAGACGCCATCGCTGCGGCGCAGTGGGCATACGAAACCACGACCACGCGCCATTCAACAGTTTGATGCGTCAAGCACGTCCCTAAAACGATCACTTCGATGAGCCCAACTCTCGTATACGGCCTCCTACTTGCGATCCTGATTCTCGGACCATTGGTCGTATTGCACGAGTTTGGACACTACATCGTCGCAAAGATCAATGGTGTAAAGGTGCTCGAATTCGGCTTCGGGTTCCCCCCTCGCGCCTTCGGGATTTGGACTGGTTCGACGCTGATGTCGACATTCCCGCAAACCAGGTACGACACAGAAGATGGCCGTGAGTCGTTACGGGTCGGTCAGATGGTGACGATCTTAGGTGAAGAGAACCCGGATGGGACGATCGACGCAATGAGCGTGACCGAGTTCGAGAAAAAGGACATCTCAACCGCTCAGTCTTCAGCGTCGGTCTTCGTTGGAAAAGTCAAAAGCATCGACGCCAGTAGCATCACCGTGTCCGAGATGGTTTGGTCGATTAATTGGCTACCGGTAGGCGGTTTCGTCAAACTCAAGGGAGAAGAAGACCCAGAGGCAAAGAATAGCCTTGCGAGCCAATCAGCAATCACGCGGATATTGGTGATTGGTGCTGGCATCGCGGTGAACGCCGTCATTCCCTTCATCGTGTTCACCGTCGTTGTCATGATCCCGGTCCAATACATCGCAGGCGATGTCGTCGTCGCAAACGTGATGCCTAACTCACCGGCATACGAAGCTGGCATTCGACCGTTGCAAAAGATAGTCGCCGTTGACGGAACTCCGATCACAAATTTCAACGATCTACAGAGCGCGGTGATCAAAAAACTCGGCGAAGAGTCGAGATGGGTTGTCCAACGCGGTATCCCGGACCCGTTCGCGCGTCCCGCAGAGCCGACTGTTCATTACTTGGAAGGCGATACCCAGGTTGTCACAGTGGTAGCCCGATGGGACCCGCCACGTCACGAAATTGTGGACGAAGTTGAAAACCCCTCGAATCAAATGCGCCTAGGTGTCGCTCGTGTCTACAACCCAAGCGTCGGATTGAACGACCAATTAACAGTGGTATCTGATGGCTCAGTCCGAGACGATCTCTATGAAATCTCACTTTCTGACATCCGAGAGTTCGTCCCATCAGCGCAGATCGGCGACATGATCCCTGTAACGCAAGCGGACGAAGGTACCGGGATCCACTATCTGGATGCACGGAAATTCAACCTTGAACTTGGCACGGTGACGTACCTACAAGAAGGCGCGGCCGGCGTTCAACTCCAACTGCAAAATCCCTACATCGCCTCGCGCGGCGTGCCGATCACGCGCGCCATCCCCGAAGGCATCAGCGAGACCTTTGGAATCGTCACTCTCGCGCGCAACTCGATATTCGGCGCCCTGTCTGGCTCGAAAAATCCGCAGTTCGAGGGGCCTGTCGCAGTAGGACCCGTAGGTTTGAGCCAACTTTCAGGGGAAGTTGCGACCGCCGACATACCAATCAGCGCCCGCGTCACGATCATCCTGACCCTAGCGGCCACTCTGAGCATCTCCTTGGCGGTGATCAACCTCTTACCTTTCCCGGGCCTCGATGGCGGTCGCTTGGCGTTCGTATTGTTGGAAGTCGTGCGCGGCGGTAGGCGAATCTCACCCGAAAAGGAAAACCTCGTTCATCTCGCGGGTTTCGTGATACTCCTCGCGCTCATCGTCGTAATTTCGTTTTCGGACATCGCACGTTTGATCGGCGGCGAACGTTTCCTGTAGCCGATAATGGATAGAAGCATGCTTGAATTGATCGAAAAAGCTACAACGGCGCGCTCGAAGACCCATCGCGTCATGGTCGGTCACGTCCCCATCGGAGGGGGCAACCCAATCGTCGTGCAATCCATGACCGACACGGATACCGCCGACATTGAAAAGACGACCGACCAGGTTAAACTCCTCGCCGACGCCGGCAGCGAAATCGTTCGGATCACAGTGAACAACGATCACGCAGCAAAGGCAGTCCCAGAAATCGCCAAGCGATTGGCTGACTTGGGTTGCAACGTGCTGTTGGTAGGCGACTTTCACTTCATCGGCCACCGCTTGCTCCGAGACCATCCAGAATGCACCGAATCCCTAGCGAAGTTCCGCATTAATCCGGGTAACGTCGGGCGTGGCAAGAGACACGACGAAAACTTCACCGCCTTCATCGAAATCGCCCGCGACCTCGGAAAACCGGTCAGAATCGGTGTCAATGCTGGAAGCCTAGACCAAGAACTATTGGTCCAGAAAATGGACGAAAATTCGCGTCGTGCGAACCCGATGAGCGGCGATGACGTCGAACGCGAAGCGTTGGTGGAAAGCGCAATCGCCAGCGCCAGTGCGGCAGTAGATGTCGGCCTCGCTGAGACATCAATGATCATCTCGTGCAAGGTGTCGCGCCTCGGGCAGATGGTCGAGGCATACAAGACGCTGTCCAGTTTGACCAACATCCCCCTGCATTTGGGATTGACCGAAGCCGGGATGGGACAGAAAGGGATTGTCGCGACGACCGCCGCGCTCTCAGTGCTACTTTATGGCGGAATCGGCGACACGATCCGATCCAGCTTAACTCCCGAAGTTGGCGGTGATCGTTCAAAAGAAGTAACGCTCTGCCAAGACATTCTGCAGGCGCTTGGCATCCGAACATTCCGACCCTCCGTCACGGCATGTCCGGGTTGCGGACGAACTACCTCGACCCTGTTCCGCGAATTGGCGAGCGATATCCAGAAACAGATTGACATCAATCTCCCGGATTGGAAACATCGATACCCCGGTTCGGAATCGTTGAAGGTGGCCGTGATGGGATGCGTCGTGAATGGCCCTGGTGAGTCGCGGGCTGCGGACATCGGCATCTCGCTGCCGGGTAGCGGCGAAAGCCCGCGGGCTCCAGTATTCGTCGACGGCGAACGCGATCGATTGCTGTCCGGACCAACGATCGCCGAAGAGTTCATCGGCATGGTTAACGAGTACGTCGACCATCGTTGGGGTGCGAAAACGGGCTGAAATCACTCCTAGATTTATCGAGAGGGATCGCAAACCACAAATGCGAGCATCACAGTTTTACATCAAGACGACCCGCGAGGCACCGGTTGAGGCCGAGACAATCAGCCACAAATACCTCACTCGCGGCAGCTTTATCCAACAAATCGCAGCCGGCATCTTCAGCATCATGCCATTGGGACAACGCAGCCTCGACAAAATACGCACCATCATTCGCGAGGAGATGAATGCCGCCGGCGGTCTCGAAGTCACCATGCCGGTGGTGCAGCCCCGCTCCATATGGCAAGAGAGCGGTCGGGCAGACACCTACGTCCCGCCCCTCGCAAAATTCTTGGACCGCCGCGAGCGTGAGATGGTTCTTGCGCCAACTCATGAGGAGACGGTCTCAATCATGGGGCGTTACGGGATAGCCAGTTACCGAGACATGCCGCTCATCCTGTATCAAATACAGACCAAGTTCCGCGACGAAACTCGGTCACGTGGCGGGCTTCTGCGCGTACGTGAGTTTGAGATGAAGGACGCCTACTCTTTCGATGCAGACCCGGCAGGATTGGACACCAGCTACGACGCCATGGCGCAGGCCTATCGCAACATCTTCTCGAGGTGCGGCCTCGACGCGGTAATGGTTGAGGCCGACTCCGGATCCATCGGCGGCAAGGATTCCGCAGAGTTTGCGCTTCTCGCCGACAGTGGGGAAGACACCGTGCTGACGTGCGATTCCGAAGAATGCGAATATGGCGCGAACTTGGAAAAGGCTGAGTTCATCAAGACCCTAAATGCGGAGGAGAAGGCCGACGAGGTCGAGAAATTCCCGACTCCAGGATTGAAGACGATTGAGGCGTTGGCAAAAGCTGAGGGTGTCTCCGAATCTAAGACGGCGAAAGCGGTTTTCTATACGATCGACGACCAAGTCTATGTAGTTGTGATTCGCGGCGACTATGAGGTGAACGAGACCAAGGTACGGAATCTGATGGGTGGTTCTGAGCCTCGCTTAGCGACGCGCGAAGAGGTAGCCGCGGCCGGTTTCGTGGCCGGGTCAGCTTCGGCAGTCGGCATCAACAGCAAATACGTGATTGCCGACGAATCAGCAGTGGAGAACGCGAATCTTTTGGCTGGCGCCAATGAAGAGGGGTTTCACCTCAGAAATGTCAACTTCGGACGCGATTGGAACGCGGATCACATGGGTGATATCGCTGCCGCTCTGGAAGGGCACAAGTGCCCTCGGTGCGACGACGGATATCTAAAACAGCATCGCGGCATCGAAGTCGGGCACATATTCAAGTTGCGGACCGTCTACAGCGATACGATGAACGTCAAGTTCAACGATGTTGATGGCAAGCTACAGCCGGTATTCATGGGCTGTTATGGCATTGGAACCGGACGATTACTGGCCGCGGCAGTTGAAGCTAACCATGATGATCGCGGGATGACACTTCCCAGATCCATCGCACCGTTCGAAGTCGTCGTCGTTGCCGTCAATATGCACAACAACGACGAAGTTCGCGAACTCGCCGAGTCGCTTTACCGACAGCTGAACGACGTCGGCATCGAAACCCTTTTGGATGATCGAGTCGAAGCTCCGGGCGCGAAATTTGCGGATGCCGACCTGATCGGGATGCCTGTACGGGTGGTTGTTAGCCCCCGAAGCATCCAAAACGGCGGCGTCGAAGTCAAGCATCGCAAGGCGGCACGATCCGACTCCACCATCCACGCCGCTGACCAAGCGATCTCAGCGGTTCAAGCCATATTGAATTCCTGAATCAAATCCGAAAATTCGCTTTGACCGTATCGATATTATGTGCGCCGAATCATAGTGCGGGTAACTTCCGAACGTGATAGAGTCGAATTAATAAGAACGCACATTGCGGCTGCGATGTGTTGAGGAAGTGGGCGGGCGCCCACTTTTTCTTTTTTTGGGATTGCACAGCGCAGCCGACATTGCAATTGATGGAGGTCTGACAAGATGAAGAGCGACATGCTGCTTGCGGTAATGCAGCTCTCCGCGGAACGAAATCTTCCGCAGGAGTCTGTCGTCTCGGCATTTGAAGACGCCATCGCTGCCGCCTATCGTAGAGATCCCGCAGTCGACGAACAAGACGTCCAGGTCCAACTCGATCCGGATAGCGGTGAGGTGATCATCAACACCGTAGTGCACGTTGTCGAAGAGCTGGATGAATTGGACCCACGGGGCCAGGTAAATGTAGAGCAAGCTCGCACGTTGAGCGTAGATGCTCGACCGGGGGACGACATCATCACTGGCGTGCTCGACTTCACGCCGCAACGGATCGCAGCGCGCACGGTAACCCAAGTTCTCATGCAACGCTTGCGGAGCGCTGAACGCCAGTTGGTGTTCGAGCAGTACGCGGACAGAGAAGGCGAGATCATTTCCGCGCCGATCCGAAGAGTGGCGTCTTCACGCCAACTCGAATCCTTCAGCGACCGACCAACTGTATTTGTTGATTTGGGTAAGGCTGATGCGATCATGCAAGGTGACGAGCAAAGTCCCAACGAGCGGTACCGCACGGGGATGGAACTCAAATTTTTCGTCGTGCGTGTCAGTGACGAGACCGAAGAAGGCGATGGGTCGCCTGAGATCGTAGTTTCCCGCCGACACCCGATGTTGCTACGACGTTTGATGGAGCTAGAAGTTCCAGAAGTTGACGAAGTCCGGCCTCGTAGAAATCAAGGCGATTGCGAGACAGGCTGGCCCGCAGCAAGATCGCCGTCTACTCGAACAAACACGATATCGACCCCATCGGTGCGTGCGTGGGTCTTCGAGGAATCCGGATCCAAAACATCGTTACTGAATTGATGGGCGAGAAGATCGACATCTTGGAGTGGAGCGACGACCCTGCCGTCTTCATCGCAAATTCGCTTGGTCCGGCACAGGTTGAGGATGTGGTCGTCGTCGACGAAGACACCGTCGAGGTAATCGTCCCTGAAAACCAACTGTCGCTCGCCATCGGTAAAGATGGTCAGAACGTGTCGCTCGCGACGCGGCTTGCTGGTTATCGGATAGACATCAAAGGGTCCGCAGCCTACGCTGAGGAGCTGATTGATCGACAGCGCAGCGTGAAGCTGATGCCGCGCACATGGCTGCTGAAGTCGAAGCAGATAGGTTGGCCGCGGAAGCCGAACTCGCGGAACGGGCCGCCGCGGATGCTGAACAGCAACGGCGACTCAGCGAAATCGAAGATGTACCACCGTAGTCGTCGAGTCCGATCCCGAAATCGAAGTCGAAGTCGAGTCGAAACGGTTGCTGAAACTGAACCCGTCGAGATCACGCCGGTTCTCTACATCCCGGAACCAGAGGAGTCGGAGCAAGGCGAAACTGAACCGGAGATGGTCGTCGCACTTGAACCAGAGGTGACCGCAGAGCCGGAAATTGAAGAAGAACCGGTGGTGGAGATTGCCGCTGAGCTTACCGACGAAATAGCCGTGGTTGAAGATGAGGAATTGACAATTACCGAAGACCCGGCGATTTTCGAGGAAGAAGCACCGGCAGCACCCGCAATGCCCGCGTTGTTCGTTCCGCATGTCCAACGGCCAGAGCCGCCGCCTTCAGTTGCGGGGCAAGGGGAGGAAGATCTCGACCTCGAACTCCTCGAACTGGAAGAGAAGCTGAAGGAACTCGAATTCGAGGAACAGGAGCGCGCAGAAGCTGACCGTGCAGCGGCCGAGTTGGAAGCTTTGGAACAGGACATCGATTCGGATGATCTTTGGATGCTGCCTAGCGAAGTCGAGGTCACCCCTGACACCGGTGAATCGGGTTTGCGGTTTGCCGAGGACATCTCCGGGTATCGTGACGAAGATGGTCGTCGAGGTGGCGGCCGTCGACGCGGCGGCAGTTCGCGTAGAAACCGACGCTGACGGCACTGACCGGATCACAGACGGGGGGTGAACATATGCCGAAGATTCGGCATGTGCCGATGCGAACCTGCGTTCTTTGCGGCGACAAACGCCCCAAACGGCAGTTGCTTCGCATCGTGCGAGAGGATGACGATTCAGTGCGTTTCGACGAGCGTAGCAGGATATCCGGCCGGGGATGCTATGTATGCATGGATGCCGCGAAATTCGACCAACGCAGAATTAACGATAAGATAAAGAGAGCACTCAAACTACGAACGGACCTTTCCGCGGATTTTGTCGAGAAATTGTCGGCGCGGATATTATCCAGATAGTGTGGCACAGGGACGGGATTCGAGAAAAACTCATGGCAAGATCACCAAGAACACGTCAACGACGCGGCGGCGGGCGCCGTCGGCCCAGCAACGGCTCAACCGATCGGCCGTCACAGCGGCGCGAGGTGGTGAAGTTCGCCGGACCCGTAGACCTCCCAACCGAGATTAGCGTAGCCGAACTTTCGGAAGTCATTCGAAGATCGCCAATCGAGATCATCAAGGAACTCATGCGCCTCAACATGATGGTTGCCATGAACGACTCGGTGGACTTTGAAGTGGCGGCAACTGTAGCGGTTCGTCTTGGTGTCCGGGTTCGCAAACCTGCTGACGTGGAGGAATCGGAAGCCTCTGACCGGGTCGGCCTTGATGATGAAGCTAGCAAAGTTGAACCACGACCTGCCGTCGTTGCCGTGATGGGTCACGTCGACCACGGAAAAACCACATTGTTGGACGCTATCCGCGGCACGAACGTTGTTGATGGTGAGGCAGGTGGGATAACTCAAAGCATTGGTGCATATCAGATTGACCACGAAGGGCAGTTGATAACGTTCATTGACACGCCGGGACACGAAGCTTTCACGGCGATGCGCGCACGCGGAGCGCAGGCAACCGACATCGCAGTGATCGTAGTCGCTGCCGACGATGGGGTGATGCCTCAAACGATTGAAGCGATCAATCACGCCAAAGCAGCACAAGTTCCGATTATCATCGCCGTCAACAAAATCGACCTTCCCGGCGCGGATCGGACGCGCGTAATGACCGAATTGCTCGAGCACGACCTCATCGTGGAAGATCTCGGCGGCGAGGTACTTTCCGTACCCGTGTCCGCGCTCAAAGGCGAGGGTGTTTCAGATTTAATCGATTCATTGCTGCTATTGTCGGAGGTGTCCGAGTTCACCGCCGACCCTGGGCGAGATGCCATCGGCGTCGTTGTTGAGGCCTCGCTTGATCGGTTCCGAGGTCCGGTCGCGACCGTATAGTTCGATCTGGCACAGTTCGTATCGGCGACACCGTAGTCGCCGGCGACAAGTTTGGAAATGTCCGTCGGATGGTCGATGGATTCGGAAATGAAGTCACCGTAGCAGGGCCTTCGGTTCCGATCGAAATATTGGGTTTGAACGGTGTTCCAGAGTCCGGACAACAGTTCGAGGTCGTCGATGACGAGAAGGAAGCGCGTCAGCGAATCGACACGCGCCTTCGGCAGGAAAATCGGCGTCACGACACTGGTAGGCCATCGACGGTTGCAGAAGTACTTAGGCACCGACAAAGTTACGATGCTGCAGAGCTCAACCTGGTCGCCAAAACGGGTGCACAGGGTACCATCGACGCGGTCCGCCGCGCCGTCGACGGGTTGTCCTCACCGGATGTTCAAGTCAAATTGCTGCACGCCGCGACGGGCCCGATTTCAGAGTCGGACGTAATGCTCGCGTCAGCATCCGACGCCATGATCGTAGGATTCGAAACTACCGTTGAAACCGCGGCGTCCAGGTTAGCCAACCAGGAAGGTGTCCCGATCCGGACGTACGACATCATCTACACGATGATCGATGACGTGAAGCAGGCTGCTGCCCGACTCACTGAACCCGAGCGACAAGAGGTAGTCCTTGGCCGTGCAACGGTGTTGGAGGTCTTCGCGCATGGTCGGAGGGAACGCATCGCTGGTGTCAGGGTCAATTCGGGATTGATGCGTCGCAACGCACGGATGACCGTGACGCGGCGTGGCGAGGATATCTTCGAGGGTGCCGTCTCGTCGATGCGACATTTCGACGAAAACGTCAGAGAGATCGCCACCAACTATGAAGGTGGTATTGTGCTCGATGGGTTCCACGAATACCAAGAAGGTGACATCATCACCTGCTACGAGATGCGAACGGTTCAGGATCGATAGTTGATTCGCTCCGGTCGCTATCCAAAATAGAACTCAAGCACTGGCATGACTAGAAGAATCGAGCGCGTCGAAAAAAACGTGCAACGGATCTTAGGGCAAATCATCCAGGAAGAGTTGCGACCGCCCGGAATGGTCTCGGTGATGGCGGTGACGTGCGACACCCGATTAACGACCGCTAGAGTTGCCGTAAGCGTTTACGCGGCCGAATCACCACCTCGTGTCACCATCGAGTACCTCGAAAAACGCACCGCATTCATTCGGCGCGAGTTGAGCACTCGGGCCCAGATGCGCCGAACGCCAAAGATCGAATTTGTACTTGACACATCGCTCGAAGACGGGCAGAGCATGATCGATCTGATTTCAGACGTCTCTTCTAGCCGTTGAGGGAACCGCATCCGCTTCGCCGATATGCAGAACCCGATCAGTCCGATAGGCGGATTTCTGAATGTCGATAAACCTGGTGATTGGACTTCGGCTGATGTCGTCGCCAAGTTGCGATCCGCATTCCAATTGCGCAAGCGCCGAATAAAGATTGGCCACGGCGGCACGTTGGATCCGATCGCTACCGCGTGTTGCCAATCTGCGTCGGCAACGGAACACGTTTGTCCGAATTCGTATTGACCGGAGACAAGACCTATCTCCTGTCCGCTCGTCTCGGGGTCTCCACCGACACGTATGACTCTGAAGGTAAGACCATTGAGCAACACGATCATCACGAAGTCTCGCTGTCTCAAGTCAGATCGGCTCTGACCGGTTTCGATGGCGAAATCGACCAGATTCCTCCGATGTACAGCGCCATCAAAAAAGACGGACAACCTCTTTACAAACTTGCGCGGCAAGGCAAGAACGTCCCGCGCGAACCAAGAAGAGTGACAGTCAAATCGCTGACATTGACCGAATGGGACCCACCTGATTTTCAGTTACGAATCGAATGCGGCAGCGGCTTTTACGCGCGGAGCCTCGCACACGACCTCGGCCAAGAGCCTAGGTTGCGGCGCGCATATGACATCGCTCCGTCGCGAAAGGGCAGGGAGTTCCATATCGAAGATTCAGTTTCAATCGACGAACTAACCGCAGGCGCGAACGACGACTCATGGACGCGTCATTTGCTAAAACCAGACTATGTGTTGAAACACTTTGATGCGATCTGCATTGGAAGCCAACAAACGGCAGCATTCACGCACGGAAGAGCGATTGACGTCGCTCACAATTCGTCAGAATCTGGAGAAGTTCAAGTAAGCGTATACGCGAAATCCGGTGAGTTGCTGGGTTTGGGCTTCCACGACGCAGCGACTAGCCGTTTGCGACCGGCGAAAGTGTTTCACGCGGCAATCGAATCGAGCGGAGCAACTCAGATATAGAATCCAGTTTGGCAGGATTTCGAGTTACGTCTGTTTGCGTAGCATCTCATGATTGCCGCTAAAACCTGAGCCGAAGACCTCACGAAACACCGACAATTGCACGGAGAATCGCTACTTTTCATATCCGCTGAGCTGATAATCATGCTCTCGGTCATCCTCGTCGCCGCAAAGATCGGCGGCGAGATTGCTGAGCGATTTCTCAAAATCCCAGCGATTATTGGCGAACTAGGCGTAGGCATCCTTATTGGACCCAGCGCGTTGGGCGGGATACGCTTTTTCGACTCCATCGGCCCGGTGTTCCACGAAGTCGGTCCCTTCATCGCTGAATCGGCGTCTCATGCCAGCGATGTAGTCGAACCCGCGATCCCGTTCACTCTGTACTTCGTGGGCCAACTCGGTGCAGTATTGTTGCTCTTCGAAGCTGGACTTGAAACCGACAGGAAGCAGTTTTTGCGATTCATTCGCCCAGCGACTGTGGTCGCCCTCGGCGGAGTCATTTTCCCGTTTGGTCTCGGCGCGTTGGTTACGCTGTGGTTCGGATACGCCAACTTCAACTCAATCGAAGAGGCAATCCCTGCGCTGTTCGTCGGCGCGATCCTGACTGCTACCTCTGTAGGTATCACAGCGAGAGTGCTAGGCGACATCAGCCGGCTCGACTCCATTGAAGGGGTCATCATAATGGCTGCCGCCGTCGTGGACGATGTGCTGGGAATCGTCCTTGTGGCTATCGTCGTCGGAATCGAAGCAGACGGTTCAGTTTCAGGTTCGTCCGTCGCCTTGTTGATCGTCAAAGCCGTAGGTTTCTGGCTCGGATTGACATTGATCGGGAGCCTCTTGGCCAATCGCATTTCGAACATGACGATGTGGTTCAAATCTGACGGCGCAACTTTGGTGCTCGCGATTACGCTCGGATTCATCGCGGCGAGCGTTGCCGAAGTCTACTTCGGCCTCGCAATGATCATCGGAGCGTTCTCCATGGGATTGGCGCTATCCGCAACGGTGCTGAAGGAACACAACACCTTCGCCATCCGCCACATCGGCAGTTTACTGGTCCCGGTCTTCTTCTGCATAATCGGCATGCAAGTTGACCTGACGGCCATCTGGGAATCGGACAATCTCGTCCAGCTTTCCTTGTTTGCTTTCGTCGTTACCGTTGTGGCAATCATCTCCAAAGTGGCCGGAGCCGGACTCCCGGTCATGGCTATCGGATTCGGTAAACGCCGCGCTTGGCGAATTGGCCTAGGGATGTTGCCCAGAGGCGAAGTCGCGCTCATCGTAGCCGAAATCGGCCGCGCCAGCGGAATCATCGACCGCGACATGTTCACGGTGGCAATAGTCATGACGGTGATTACAACCGTCATCGCTCCGATATTCCTGGTTCGTGCGTTCGGGCCGAACCAAAAGCGCAGCCGCCCGACTGTCCGAGCCCATTGATGCGCTACGGCCGAAATTAAACGTCTTGCCGTATATCATTTAGCGCGCAAACCCGCCCCCGTAGCTCAGTGGATAGAGCACCGGTCTCCGAAGCCGGGTGCGTGAGTTCGATCCTCACCGGGGGCGCCACGATTCACACATGGTTCAAACGGCATCATACACACATCTCGTGCCCAACGGCGCACCGTTAGTCGAATTCGTCGCCGCCGCGATTTCGCGGATCAGAACCCAGAGCGCGATGACGCGCATACTCGTCGTTGTCCCTTCGCTTTATTCGGCCTTCTATCTAAGACGTGCTGTCACCGAGAAGTTGTGCCGGGACGAGAGTGGAGGACTCTTCAATGTCGAGTTCATGCGCATCGAGGAGGTCGCCGACACGATCTTCGACGCCGTTTCCAGCCAACCCGACCAACCGTCAATGACGAGACTGATCGCGTCCGAGTTGATTCACAACGCAATCGCCGAGTTAGATACGCCCGGTCCGCTTAGCGACCACCGCGACAACGACTCCACATTGGCAGCGGTTCAAGACACGTTAAGGGAACTCGAACTACTAGATGTCGGAGCCGAAACAGCCCTTGTCCACCTAGCGAGAGGATCACGCCAAGGCCTATACCCGCAGCTTCTCGAGTTGCAACGGAGATACGCAGAGTCGGCATCCAAATACCTCACCCGGGAAAACAAAGCCGCATTTGCGGCCGCCGCAGTTTCCGAAGTTCCATCGACCTTAACCTCGATCTTCGGTCCGCATCTGATCGTAATCCGAGCGCCATCCGCGCCCGACGCATACACAAGGCTTGGGACGCTCTCGAACAGTAGACGCCGCCATTGCGGACCCGTATCGTTACGGATCAAACGATCGATGAACATTCCCCAAGCGATCGAACCAAAAACCAATTTCTACTCAACAATGGGCGCGGGCAGACGAACGAGAGCCTTGATACGCAACATCGTGGCAGATGCACGAGGACGGAGTACGACTTCGGCGAAATGGCCGTCTTTTACCCGACGGTCGACTACGCCTCACGCGTCAAGGACGCTTTAGATGCCGCCAACATCAAGAACTGCGGCCCTTCGACCAAAACTCTCGCCGAAACACCTTCAGGTAAATTCGTTGCCCTTTTCCTCACCATGTTGGCCAACGAGATGCGCCGAGACGCATTCACATCTTGGACAACATCGGCTCCCGTGATCGACCCGTCCGACGGCTCAAGAGTTCCCGCGGTCCAATGGGAAATCATTTCTCGCAACGCCAACATCATTCGATTCGACGCGAATACCGCCTGGCAACGTTCAATACGCCGTTACGCCAACAGAATGAACAACCGAGCAGAACGGGCAGACAACGATACCGACGACGAAAAAACGATCGATCCAGCGACTTTTCGCAATGCAGCCAACGCCGCTACACAGCTAAGGTGGTTTGTCTCGGAACTCGCTTCGCGTATCGACGTCGTTCAAAGCAGACCGTGGACGGGATGGGTGGATTGGATTGAGGGAATCATCGCCGTCTACCACTCGCCTCACCGCAATTCTGACGACCGCGCGCGAGTCGGACTAACTCGCGTCTCCGCTGACCTGAGTCAGCTCCGGGAGTTGGATCAAATCACCAACGGCGACGTCGGTTTTGATCGATTCAACCGCACAGTTCAACGCCTCTTGCGTGCACGAATGGGCGGTTCGTCAGGTTGGGGATCAGCGGTTTTGGTCGCACCACTCTCCGCGGGTATAGGTGCCGCATTCAAAAGTGTCCACATTCTGGGAATGTCAGAAGGAGGACTGCCTGGTTCCGGCAGATCCGATCCACTGTTGTCCGACGACCTCAGACGCGGATTGGACCCCGACGGCCACTGGTTGACAACGAGACGCGACCAACTCGAAATGCAACGCCGTGAGTTCAATCTGATCCTCAATTGCGCGACGACGCGGTGCATGTACTGGAACAAAGCACTACTCGGCGCCAGCAATGAATCATACCCCTCGCCGTGGTTCGTAGATGAGGTTCTGAAAGCTCACGACGAAACCAACGTGCCCGTCAAATCGCTAATGGATCCGCAGAGCGACTGGGTTGAATCGGTTACCGCACTCTCCGACATTGGCACGACGAAGAGCGAAGCATCATCCGACTACGAATTCGGGCTGCTAGACGTTGCGATCCGCTCGCACGACGAACGAGGTTTGCAAGAAATGCTTGCCGAACCACGGAATCATCCGATCTTACGTGGCGGCCGCACCCTGGGTTCCAGAAACTCCAGAGTCTTCGACGCATATGACGGAAACGTCTACCGAGACGGTAAGGGCAATGCAACATCCTTGCACGTATCTGCAAGCGCGCTCCAAGGCTACGCGACTTGCCCATATCGCTACTTCATGGCGAACGAACTGCACGTCGATGCTCGCATCGAACCAGACGAATCCCTTGAACTGTCAAGTCTCGACAAAGGGATTTTGGTCCACTCGATTCTGGAACGGTTTTTCGAAGGTTTCCGCCCAGAAGAGACGGGGGAAGGACTGATCCGACTGCGTGAGGTGGCGCACGAGGCGTTCGAACGCTTCCTGCGAGACGAATATATTGGTTATCCCGCAATATTCGAACTTGAAAAGGTACGATTGCTCAATCAACTGGAAGAATGGCACCGCGACTTCATGAAGATCATGTCCGGATACGACGGCAAGGTGATGCCCGAGGTGCCGTTCGGTTACGAAGACGACAGCTTAGGCAATATAAAAACTTCCGACGGTTTCTCGTTACGTTTGCGTGGGAAGATCGACTTGGTAGCGGTTTCGACGGCAGGAGATCAAGCGCAAGTTCTCGATTTCAAGTCCGGCAGCACCGGTAGTTATTCCGACATCGAAAAAGACGTCACCGCCTCAGGGACCAAGCTACAGCTACCCATATATGCTCTGATCGCCCGAGAAATCCTTGGACCCGCGACTGAAATCAGCGCCGCTTATTGGTTCGTTTTCGAAAAAGGCAACAAGCGACTTCGCCCTGAACACAAAATCTCAATGGAAGTAGCGCAAGAGAAATTCGCCCCTGTGCTCGAAACCATCGTCCTGGTGTCGCAGTAGACGAGCGCTCCCTTGGCAACTTCCCCGCCAGACCCGGTGATCAGGTGCCTCGTGCGACGCCCTCCTTGGAAAAACTGCAAGCACTGCGACTACACCGATGCTTGCCCTAGCTGTATCGATGTGATCGTTGGGGCGATCGACACGAGCAATCCTACACCCCAGCTATCTGGGTATCTGACATTGGCAGAGGGTGGAGCCGAGTGACGATCACCGTTTCTCCAAACCTGTCGGACACCGACTCGCTGTCGGTCATACAAAGCGACCTCGAATCCAGCATCTATGTAGAAGCCGGCGCGGGCACTGGCAAGACTCATTCACTGGTCCAGCGCATCGTCGCATTGCTCAAGGGCGGCGTCGAGATCGACGAAATCATCGCGATTACCTTCACTCGAGCAGCTGCTTCGGAACTGCGCTCCCGCATCCGCGGCGAGTTGGAGCAACTGCGGGCAGAAGACCCATGCGACCAGCGAATCAAGACTGCGTTAGACGGCATC